GGGGGGGGGGGGACTGCTTGCCTCTCCTCCCCTCGCCTCCCCACACCCTCAGCAGTGGTGGCTGGACTGAGTCAATGCTGCCTCGGTTCTCTTCTCCCGCCAGCTCCTCTGGTCCCCTTTGTCAGCAAGGCACAAGGCATGTGGACACTTTCTCCAGAGGCCAGGAGTCTCACAAATGTTATTCCAGGCCTGGGCCTGGCAGTGTGAGGAGGCAGGGGAGGGCCAGGCCAGGGTCTGGTCTCAGACACTGAGCTTCGTGTGACTTTGGATGAATCTTGAACTTTCTGAGCTTCAGGTGCTCTGCCTCTAAGATGGGCACTGTCTCATCAGGGCTCTTCAGGACTAATGAGGCCATGTTTCTACAAGGTCTGGTACACAATAGGTTCTTCCTACTGGAGTCTGCTGGGATCATTGGGGTAGGAGGGCAGGAGGGCAACTGTGGGAGCCTCCAGAAGCCTTTTCTGGGAGGAGTGTCCATGGGGATTTGTCCTCTGGGCTGCTGCAGGTGTGCTCTCTATGGAGTTTCCTGATCATAGGCTCTTTGCCAGACCTCACCTGGGGCAGGGTTCTCGAGGAGAGACTGTGACCCCATCTGAGGTTGCCTGGGAGTTCTCAGGAGGCAAGATGAAGGTAAATGAGAACAATATCCTTTCTCCTAGCTCAGCATGTGTCCTGACGTCTCTGTGGGCCAAAATCTGGGAGAGTTCCTAGAAGAGGAGGAGGCGACAAGCTAGGTGTTCTCATAGGTGGCTGGAATAGGTGAAGTAACGCAGGTGGGAGAAAATGGACGTGGGAAAGTGTCAGTTGTGTGGTCATCAGCAAGCCTGGTTGGGGAGCCTCCAATGCAAGGACATGGTTATAACACCTGGTTGCTGTCTCCAAGTGCACACTGGCTAGTGGAGAGGTCAGACCAGCTACATGAAATGCCATGGCATCAGCCAGCCAGCTGAGCTGATCACCACAAGCCACTCAGTCCTGAGTACTGGGCCCTGTGGAGGTGAGGGGTACCTTCTGGGCCTCTCCCGGCCATGGGCCAGCATCACTTATTCAACAGTGATTTATTGAGCTCCTGTAGACACCCTTGTCAGAACTAAGGGTACCACAGCAAACAAAACAGACCAAAGTCCCTGTCCTTGTGCAGTAGAGAAAAACAAAACAGGGTCAGGGTCGAGAGGACTGGGTAGGGGTTGTAATCCTAGAAGGGAACACTGGAGCAGATACTTGAAGGAGATGAGCAGCACACCTCAATATTTGAGGGAAATGCATTCCAAGTAGAGGGAACAACATGTGCAAAGGCCCTGAAGCTGGAACATTCTTAGTGTGATCTAGGAGCGACCAGAGGCCAGTGGAGTTGGTGAGGGAGGGTCGATAGTGGTGGAGATGAGGTGAGGAGGGCCTTGAAGGCCATTGTACTAACTTTTATGGAGAGGCTTCAAGGATTTTTTTAATATATATTTTTTAAGGTGAGGTTCATTTACATGATATAAAAGTCACCCATTTTAAGTGGGTGACTTTTATATTAAAAGTTTGATGACTTTTAATATAAATAAGCAGTTGTGCAGCCATTACCACAATCTAGTTTTAGAACATTTCTTCCACTCAGGAAGTTCTCTTATCTGTTTTTAGCCAGTCCCTGCTCCCACCACCAGGCAACTGCTGATCTGCTTTCTGCCTATAGTTTTGAAATTTTATGTGAATAGAATCATACAATATGTAATCATGTCTGGGGCCTTTCCCTTAGTATAATGCATAAGTCAATATTTTCTTACTGTTGCTGAGTGCTATACTATAACATCGATGTACTGTTTGTGCGTTCACCAGAGGATGGACATTTGGGTTTTTACCACTTTGACTATTATGAATAAAGTTTCTATGAGCATTTTAAAATAAATCTTTGTATGGATATACGTTTTTATTTCTCTGAGGTAGTTGTGTCATATGGTAGGTATGTATTTAATTTTTTTAAGAAAGTGCCAAACTGTTTTCCAAAGTGGTTGTACCGTTTTTATTTCCCCCAGCAATATGCATGTTCCAGCTGCTGTACATTCTCATCAGCACTTGATATTGTCAGTTTCCCTGTCTTTAGCCTTTCCAGTTGGTGTGAAGTGGCAGCGCTGAGCTTTTGGTCCTCGTTGGCTATCTTTTCTTGTGCCTATTGCTGTTTGCGTATCTTCTTTGGTGGGTGAAATGGCATTCAGATCTTTTGTTCATTTTTCATTAGGTTGTCTTCTTATTACTGAGTTCTAAGAGTTCTTCATATGTCCTGAATACAAGTCTTTTTTTAGATATATGATTTGTAGCTTTTTTTCTCTGGGTGGGTCTTGGGCAGAGAAGGGGCCATGGGCATGGGGAGAGGGTCCTTACACCTCGCTTCAGTTCCAGCAACACACTCTCCTCTGCCTCAGGCATGTGGGCTCTGCATCAAGATTTCCTAGGTCAGAGGGCCCCCCAGCTAAGCCACAGGAGCAGGAAGCCCATTTGGCCACCCACAGAGTGGCCACCCATTCGCTGTCGCCAGAGACATGCCCTTGTTGGCTCAGCGAATCCCTGTCAGGTTTGGGGATTCCAACACAGCCTAACCAGGCTCAGAGATAGATGTCACAAACTATGGGGCAATTCCCCAGTGAATGAACTTCCTGGAGAGCCAGATTCTGGGGAGCAAGGGAGCAGGCTTATGCTCCAACCTGACCAAATGTCTCTGGGCCCCAGAATTCCTGAGGTATCAGAGTCATGGATCAGGGGATTGTAATGTTGGATTTGCAGGCTCCAGGGCCAGATCAGGGTAGGCAAAAATGCCCCATTCTCCTCTCAGCTTACCTGGGCATGTAGGTGTCATCACTCTGTGCCTTGGGGGAGCTTATTTTCCTCTGTTCTTATGGCTGGCAGCCCCATGTAAGGAGCTGATCTTTCCCATGGTTGATCCTTCCCGGAACAGATAATAGTGTTGCTGGCTCATCTTGCTGGACTGAGAGCCATTCTGAAGACACTGCGTATTCCTGCCATGAGCATTGTAGGTTGGCTTCTGTATTAGTCAGAACTTTGTGGTTGCAAGCAACACAGTCCCTAAAAATAAGTTTAGACAAAAAGAGAAAACAATACATGTGTGTGTAAGTATATATTGGCTGATGTAAGCGAGGGGCTCAGTCACCATCTTCAGGCTCAGCTGGATCCAGGCCCTCTAAATCCAGCCACTCAGCTCTGTTTTCTCTGTGTTGGCATCGTTCCTGGTGGCTCTCCCATGAGGTAACTGGGATGGCCCTGCAGTTCCTGGCGTCCATCCCACAGCGATGCAGCCCCAGAGCAAGGAGAGCACCTCTTCCTAAAGGTTCCAGCCAGAGTCCAGGTCCTGATGCTGCTTGGGTCACGTGATTCCCCTCAGTTAACCATGGGGAGAGGGGCGGGGGCTCTGACCTGGCCTGGGTCGTGTCTACTCCAGGAGTGTATGCAGGTTCAGCCACACACATCATGTGGATCAAGAGTGGAGGAAAGGGTTCTCTAAAAGGGAATCATGTTCCATGACCAAGGGTAGGATAGGAAGATGGCTGGACAGGCAGAGGGTGTGGCATCCCTGACCCTATCAGAGTGGGGTGCCCAGAGGGCATTGATTTCCAGTTCTCAGGTCCCAAGGGGATGAAGCTTTCATCCAGCATCCTCCGTTTGTCCCGTGGTGCTCTGCATTCCGTCTCCCCACTGGCCAGTGTGCTCCCAAGGCAGAGGCCTGTGGCTCTGGGGCAGGACGGGGCCTGGCCCATGGTGCTCCCCACATAGACACTTGGTACAAGAGAGGGTGTGCACATGGGACAGAGCCGGAGGAGGCCAGGGGCTGGCGGCCCTGTCCTTCATGCCTCTCCTTCAGTCCCCCTGCATCCAGCCCTGTCTTGCTGGCATCTGGTACCCTGAACTGATCACCTTGGAGACTGGAGGTGTCCCTTTTGTCAAATGCTAGTGCCCCATTCATCGCAGACACCGTATGCATCACACCCTTCTCTATTTAGTTATATAGGCAGGGAGCTATAACGGTGGAAGGACAAGCAGAGGGCACATGAGTCCATCCTGGCAAGGGATGTAGGTCTCTCTGTGTGTATGTCCGCACACCAGGTGGAGTGGGCAGGTGCTGGGAAGGTGAGCCCAAGAGCAGGAGTGTAGCCTGATGTTGCTTTGTCCAGCCTGCATCAGGAGGAATGTGCGTTATTGGCTAGTCCTAGAGAGTCTGGGGGCTGATGGAGAGGAACTCACCAGCTTGTCGTGTGTGTCAGAATCCACGCCAGCTTGTGCTCTGTAGTGAGAGCCACGCTCAGCTGTTGGTGGCTGTGCTGGCCCTCGAGGTCCTTGTCTGGGATTGCTGGTGTTCATACAGCATTGCTGCAGACTCCAAGCCAGTTTGCTCCTGATTCTCACCTCCTGGGCCCAGAAGGTAGGCAGAGAGAACATGCCAGACCTCTGAGTCCAGCAGACCAGTACACTTGGCCACACCGCTGCTACACTGGACCCACTCTTGCTGCCACTGCTCTGTGTCTCAGTTTCCCTACGTAGGAAAAGGTCTGTGCCTTACAGTGTTGGCAGTGCTGGAATCCTGCTGTGTCAGCATTGGGGTGATCACTACTGTTATCTGCCCACAGGTGACTGACGATGGCAGAGAGAACGTGACCTGCACTGGCCCTTTCCCACCCACTGAGTGGCACCACCATGCAGAAGCCCAGTGGCCTGAAGCCCCCCGGCCGTGGGGGGAAACACTCGAGCCCAATGGGTCGGACGTCCACTGGGTCAGCCTCTGCCTCTGCCACGGCGGCATCCACCGGCTCCAAGGAAGGTGCGCATGGCTAAGGGTGGTAGGGTGAGGGGCTGGGTGGGGACGTGGATCTCCTGGAAGAGCCACTCTGTGACCAACCTGGAGGCCAGTAGCACCTGGAAGTTCTTGTTTCAGTCTGACTGTGATCCCTTGAACAATGAACTAGTGACAAACACTGATGCGCACTTGCCTATTCATTCTCCACCACCCCAGGAGTTGGGTACCACTGTTGGCTCCACTGCAGATGAGGAAATGGAGTTCCAGGGAGGCCTGGCATCTTGCCCAAGGTCACTCAGACCCCCCCATTCATTCTCCTTCCAGGGTCTGAGATTGTCCTAGTGGAGCCAGCCCCATCTTCCCCTCAGCCCTCTTGTCTGCCACCCAGAACCATGCCCTTTAACCTTTCCGTATCTGATCTCTAGTCTTCCTGCTGGTGGGCAGAGGGCACTCTGGCTGGAGGCACCAGCTCTGAGGGCAAATGGTAGAGAAGAGCTGTTAGTAACTTGCCTTTTCTGATCATAAAAGTAAGACCCTGTGGGGTATGTGGAAAGTTTGATGCAGGAGTAAAATAACCTATAATCCCAACCCCTGGAGGCAGCTATTATTTTGGTTTGTGTTTATGTTCTTACTCTTTTTTTTCTTAACTATTTGTAATCATGCTGCATCTACAATGTGAAAATCTGCTTTTTTCCATTTAATATGATCAGGTGAATTTTTCATATCTTTTTTTTTTTTTTTTTTATGCTGGCTGCTTGTCATTTATTTTCCACTTGGTGCAAGGCACACGGTTACAGGGTGTCAGAAGGCTCGAGTGTGGCTTGGGTAGTAAAGAGCAGGGCTCTCAACTTCTTTGTGGTGTTTTGCTGTTTTGTTATAAAAGAGCCCATTGCTTCTGCTTGCTGCAGCCTGCCTAGTCTATGGGGTGGGGTAAGGAGGGGGGAAAGAGATAGAGGGGGAGGGGCTCAAAAGAACCTAGCACCCCTAGAAGTCTGGTGGCTGGTGGTGGCCACTCAGGATGGGGACCTGGTATTGGCTTTGCCAGGCTGGCCGCCAAGCTGCTTCCTTGTGGCTTCCCAAGCCAGGCCACAGGCGATCATGCTGCTGGAGGCCTGAGGAGATTCCGAGTGCTCTGGTGACTCCAACACTGTGGCCGTGAATGGGAGAGTGGACTTCCCAAAAAAGAAGCTTGCCCACCAGTGACCCGAGTCGGCCTTGGGGAGACCAGGGTGGTGGGGGACGGCTTCCCCAGGGTACTCAGCACTTCCACAGGAGCTGTTACTGGAAGTGGAACCTAGGCGGCGCTGGTAGTGGGTGGCCACGAGCGAGCTGCTGGAGGGGATGGCTGCCATGCTCTTGCTCGCGGACTGCTGGAAACCTCGGTGGCGACCCCCCGTGGGCCTCGGCCCGCGATTCCGGGTGGCAGGAACGGAGGCGCTAGGCCACAGAGCCCATTTGCGGAGGAGTCCGTGTGACGCCGCTCCATGACCGAGACACATGGGGGTCTGCTCATCATTTTTATTTATTTATTTTTATTTTTATTATTATTATTATTTTTAATATATCTTTATTGATTTCAGAGAGAGGAAAGGAGAGGGAGAGAGAGAGACAGAATCATTAATGATGAGAGAATCATTGATCGAGCCCACAACCGAGCAGTGCCCTGACCGGGAATCGAACCCCAATTGCCTGGATCCCAGGTCGACACTCAACCGCTGAGCCACGCCCGCCCGGGCTGCTCATCATTTTTAATGGCTGTAAAATATTCTGTTCATTCAACAAATGTAAGTCAAGGGCCTGCTTTGTTGACATAGTCCTAACCCCTAGCCTCTGGAGCTCTCATTCTGAGCAAAACTGGTTGAGATCCCAGCCCTCAGGGGCTGCCAGTCTGGGCAGGGAGACTGAATGTCATGATATCCAGTAATGGGGGCCTGCCCAGGTCTGGGAGGTAGGGATGTGTGAGCTGGGGTCTAGAAGGCAATGGTTCACTAGATGAAGAGGGGAGGGTGTTCCAGGCAGAGGGACAGCATGTGCAAAGGCTCAGTGGCAGGAGGGAGCATGATAAGTAAAAGGAAGGGAAAAAAAGTAAGTGAGGCTGAAACGTAACCAGTGAGAAGCTTGCTGGTGAGAGGGTGGACCGGGTGGGGGCAGCTTGGCGTTATGCGGGGAGTTTTACTAACATCCTAATAGCAGTGGGAAGCCACTGGAGGGTTGTAAATCAAGAGGAATATAATAGGAGGAATTGAAAAACTTTTCTTAACCCATTCTCTGCAGTTGAAAGTTGTGATTGTTTTTTACTTTTCACTTTGATAAATGATGCTGTGATGAACATCTTTGGGCACAAATCCTCACTCTGATTATACTGCAGCCATTAAGGTAAGATGCTATCCATCTTGTCTGATTGGAACAGAAGTTTGGGAAATCTGGCCTCTGGGTTGGGTCAAGGAAAGTTTTGAGCCAAAGGCCTGGGCAGTTGGCAGAACCATGCCCCTGGCAGATCCAAACACCCAGCATGACAGGGTAAGGAAGTTGTACAGTGTGTCCCATGGGCAGGTCTGCCCAGTACATCCTTGTTTAAAGGTCCAGACTCCCCCTCCAAGTGGCAAACCTTCCTTTACTCATGGAAGGCCCTCCTGAACAATGAGAAGAAGCTAGGAGAGAAAACAGGGTGGGAAGGATGTTCCAGGGGAAGAGAAGAAGTGATGCAAAGGCTGTGAGGCAGGAATGAGTTATGTTTGATGGGAAGGAAGGCAAGTCTGGGTAGAGAGGAGTGTGAATGAGGTTGGGGAGGGTGGCAGAGGCAGATTATGAAGAGCAGGGGGTTTGGGTTTAAGTGTGATGGGAGCTGTTGGAGGATATTAGCCGAGGAATGACTGGATGTACACATCCCTAAGTCTGCCATGTGAAGAACGGGCTTCAGGGGTTAGGAGCAGGGGTTGGAGAGACCAGTGACATGTGGTCACCCAGGCGAGGATGTCAGCACTCACTGCCAGGGCTCTGAGATGTTGAGGGGTTGACCACCACTACCTGAGTGGGCTATCAGGGAAGACTTCCTGGAGGAAGCCTAAAAGAGCATAGCCTTGAGAATGGGGGAATATAAGTGTTGTAGAGGAGGAAGACTTTCAGGCAGTGGAGAAGAGCATGGGCAAAGGCATCAAATGGGCTGAGCTTGGTCCAGTGGGGGCTAGGGATGACGGTGGCAGTTGTGTAGCCACTCTATGGAGAAAGGCACCAGCTAGGCCTGACCCTGACCCTTCTCTAGTGGAGAGAGTCCCACAGCACCTTTGGCGTTCTTTCCTCATTGCTCCCTCGCTGATCAAGAGGGGCCTGAATCTGGCTCTGATCCGAATCTAATGTGCTCTGCCCCTGGAAGAGTTACCTAACCTCTCTGAGCCACTAATGGGATAATAGCGTCTCTCTGATGTGATCAAGTCAGTTAAGGAATGTGAAGTGCCTGCAGGTACAAAACTCATTAAAGAGTAATTTCTTTTCCTTCCATCCATCTATAATCTCATTATAGAAAAAAAACGTGAAAGTGATAAAAGAAGATAAGCCCTCCACTGAACCTAATCACAGCCACTGCTGTGATTTATTTCCTTCTGATCTTTTTTCCTACCGCAGATATTGTTTTAAGTAGTTGAGTCATGGATTGTACCCATATTTGCATCATTTGTTTCCACCTTTGACTGTGCTTGCAGTCTTTGCCATCCTTCATAGCCAGGGAATGGGGATGGAGCACACAGTGTGGCATGCTGGTTGCTTCCTAGTCACACTGCACAGTGGTCTGGGAGCCCCTGAGGGTGGTCTGACTTGATCTGGGCCCTCCTACCTTAAAGGGCTGTTCCAGAGCAAGGAGGTGCCACTCCATGAATGTCTGATTAATTACAGAGCCATGACCCCATGCTCCACATGGGCATGAAAGGCTGCAGCAGGGCTTGGTGGTGCCCTCCCTCCTCTGGCACCAGCTGTCTTTGCAGACACCCAGGCTAGGGGAGGGGGAGTGGAGAGCTGGGAGAGTTGGCAGAGGCAGAGAAACCCTGTGAGAGGGGAAGGGAGATTTCTGCCACTCAGAGCTACTTTTGTCCCTGCTCCAGGTCTTATAACAAGAGTCTCTGGAGAGGAGGGGCGGGTGGAAGCAGCAGCGTAGGACTGTGCCTGCACCACCCACCCCCCATGTTGGCCCCTCAGACTCCCTCCCCCATCCCTTGGAACTGGCCATCTGCTCTCCAAGGTGCTGGAGGTGCTGCCCTCATCAGAGGCTGTGACCCTGTGTGAGGGGCACCAGGGCACTGAGAGATGGATCTGGCAGGGACTAGAGCCTGGCTGGGGTTGGGGGACAGTTAAAAGTTGGAATCTGTTCTGGGAATCGGCAGTGGCTGCCTCCCAAAACATGAGCTCAGCTTCCTGGCAGAGGGTCTGGCCAAGGGCTGGGCCTGGACTGATGCCCCCGCCCCCTGCCCCATGGAGATGGAAGGGCCTGTGTCAGTCCCCAGAGCTGTGACACACAGGGAGCGGCAAAGCCAAGGGGACCGTTGGATGGAGTCTGTCATACTATGTGGTGATCCAGTGGTCAAAGCAGGTGTGCAGAGGGCGATCTGGGACCCACCTGTAGACAAAGGCCTGGGTGGGGCATGGAAGTCAGGGACATCCCAGCTGGACAGGCTGGAGCACCTGGAAGCAGCTTCAGATTGGGAGGTCAGGGAGGGTCTTTCTCAGGAGGTGACATTGGTGCAAAGATCTGAGTGACAGAAGCCAACCCAGATGACTAGGGAAAGAGCATCAAGGCAGAGGGAATAGTGATGCAAAGGCCCTGAGGTTTGAGATGTCTGAGAACCAGAGAGCGGCTTGAGTGGACAAGGGGGAGTGTCACTAATGGGCTAGGGCAGGAGTCAGGGCCCCAGATGGAAGTTGGGTAGCTGTGACTGGCGCGCCTGGGGGTTTGGAATCTAGCCTGTGCCTGAAGGAGGAGGAAGTTCAGGCTTCCAAGCTGGTGGCCCGAGACTGCTGCTGGTATATGGCCCTCC